AGAGAGAGAGAGAGTAGAGTACATATGACATAGACATCTATAACACATACCGGTGTTACCGTATTATACAGCTCCGGTCTTGAATATATAGTCTTAAAGGTTTGAAAGGGTCCACAGTTTATTGCTGACCATCTCTTCATGTTCCTCATCAGACAGAACAGATCAAATTCTATCCTCTTCTATGGCAAAGTGTACAACCCAGCTGCATAAAGTCAGCAGTGGCTATGATTATATCATGATATCTCTTTTGATGTTAGGTGATGGGTTGGGAAATCGGTCTGAGATGAGAATTGGATAGATAGTATGATACCTAAACCATACAGTAACATGTAGCTTTTATGATGATCTGGTATGATACATTTTTGGCTAGCAGCCTGCAAATTTGTCTTCATTTTATTATGCTTTCTCAGTGTTCTCAGTCAGCAGTGGCTATGATTATATCATGATATCTCTTTTGATGTTAGGTGATGGGTTGGGAAATCGGTCTGAGATGAGAATTGGAAAGATAGTATGATACCTAAACCATACAGTAACATGTAGCTTTTATGATGATCTGGTATGATACATTTTTGGCAGAGGTCAGATAGTATTTGAGGGAAGCATTCTCATAATTGCTTGTTCTTCTTGCCATGAAGTTGTCTTACATATGTTCATGTAGATCCATTGTCATCCAAGTCCTCAGTACTCATTGTGTTAGATGAGGAAACTGCAATTCAGTTTTGGTAAAAAAAACATTGTCTGGAAGTGAGGGTTATAAGATATTAGTATGTTAGGTTGTCTTACTTTAAGGTATAATTTATGAGCATTGCATGGGGTCGTTACACATTGATAGTCACACTAGGCACTAACATGTATATATGTAGAATTGCACAAGGTAATTTCATGCATGCATGCGTGTGTGTGTGGGTCAGTACAGTATATGTATTGGGGAACCAAAGTTTGTGTGAATGTGTATGAAATACATACATATAACCATTTTCAGAAGTTCTTAATAGTTTGTTAGTATTTTAGATTTATAGATCTGGAATTGCAGCTTTCTTTGAGGTTGTGAATTTTGATAATACTATAATTCCTCTGTACATTAGTAATAGTAATACTATTACTCATCTCATACAGAGGAAACTGCATTGTACCCTTACTTTTATAAGTTAGTAGAGAAGTAGCCCTCTTGGAAGGTATTTCCTTAAGTTTCAGACAGAAATGCTTTTGGCACAACTTAAAACATGTATCCACAAATCCTATCAAAATATCATGTGATTGTATACAACTGTTACAGCAAATTTATGATTTAGGCATGATTTGTATATCATTTGAAGAATGATGACAGTATAATTCTGGATGAAGGATTTTGGGTGAATCGCTTATGGAAATTGAGGATATGACAGAATGACAGCATCATTGGTTAATTTGCTTTTTCATGCTATTATAAAAATTGTGATGCAGGGGTGAAATATATTAATCAGATCTAGAGGGATATGAGGGATAATGAAGAAATTTTTGCATCACCCAGATGTAGAGCGAACTAATTGTGCAACAATGAAAGATTTTTCAATAAAGCCATAATTTGCCATTAGAAGTGATTTATTATCATTTTTTATTTGGTGTGAATCTTCCTATAAGCCTGTTCAACATGCAGTACTAGTGACGTGTTTGATTCCAGGTGTGAGGATGATGAAAAGATCGCTGCCACGCCCTCCAACACCGTTCATCGCTGACCATCCCTTCATCTTTCTCATCAGAGACAACCGCTCCAGCTCTGTCCTCTTCTTTGGCAAAATGCAAAAACCGCTTTGATGCTACACTTTGTGATTAATTTTGAAGCCATTCAGAAGTAATTCACAATTCCCATGATGTCCAAACTCAATCAAATCAAGTGCTTCAGTTTGAAATAAAGAATCAGTACCTTATTCATCACTTTTATTTATTGACTCGTTACTTTCTAAAAACTTGTAGAAACACTGATATGTTTGGTTGCAGGTATGGTGATGATGACTATGTCTCTGTCACGCCCTCCAACACCGTTCTTCGCTGACCATCCCTTCATCTTTCTCATCAGAGACAACCGCTCCAACTCTGTCCTCTTCCTCGGCAAAATGCAGAAGCCACTTTGATTTGACACATTAGATTGATTCTGAAAAATTCTGAAGGAATTTGCAACTTCTGTGATGCACAAACTGTATGAAATCAAATACATAATAAAGAATCAGAACCTTTTAAGTACTAGTTTTTGAGCAAAAACCTGTAGAAAAACACAGAATGATACATTTGGTTGCAGGGGTGATGATGATGATGAATATGGCGATGCCACGCCCTCCGATGTCGTTCATCGCTGACCATCCCTTCATCTTTCTGATCAGAGACAACCGCTCCAGCTCTGTCCTCTTCTTCGGCAAAGTGCAGAAGCCACTATGATATTGATGCAAGAGTTATGTCCAATGTTCTAATTAAGACTTATAACACCCAAAACCAAGTTAGATGTAGATGACGTTGCTTTAAAGAAGTACAGTCAAACTCATGCAAGTGACTCCCAGTGGCCAATGTGATCACTTTTTGGTCAGGCCATTTAAATAATTTTCCATTGACACAAGCATTAAGTGACCACAGTCTACAGTGACTACAGTGACCACCTGTACACATAGACAATTGTATTGCTTCCCAGGGTGGTCTTCTTGGTGAGGTTTGACATTGTAGGTCTGGAGTAGTTTTGAGTTTTTGTCAGGGAGAAGCTTAAAGCTTTAAGAACTGTACAGAAAAATGAAACATGGATACATTTGGTTTCAGGTGTATTTTATAATGCTTGGATGTTCGATGCCTGCACCTCCTACATGGTTCATCGTCAACCGTCCCTTCATGTTTTTCATCAGAGACAACCGCTCCAACTCTTTCCTCTTCTGTGGCAAATTGCAGAAGCCACTTTGATTTGCAGCAAGAATCAAAAGATCCAATCCATTCAATCTTCATCAAATCAACACAGAAGTCACAGACTTAAATTTGGAGCACGAATCAAGTTAGAGAAAATTGAGTATTTGAGATTGTCAACTTTTTATAATAATGCCTGATTTCAATCGCAATATATTTTAATTTGCAACGAATCATCAGTTCATCTTTGGGATACTTTAGGTTGCAACTAGAAAGGCCAATATTTGCTTTGGAGCAAATATAGCGATGGGTTCACCACATTTTACCACATGGCAGGGAAAGAATGAGAAACACAAGGGAAAACAATGCTTTACAATGATATAACTATAGTATGAAGTAACATACAACTAAGACTACAACAGTTGGATAGCTATTCCCTACATTATTGGTTAGGATTGCATAATGCAAACTGTTGATTTTCAAGATAAAAAGAAGCGTTCATAGCCCGCATTCCAATGCTGGAGCAGGAAAGCTTAAAATACCTACCAAAACACTTGAATACAGACATACTGTCAGTATGGCATGGCTCTGTGCAGGTGTAAATGAAGTTAAGCCAGTTAAATCCCAACAGCCAATCAGCAAGGAGAATAGAGGAAAGCTGCATGCCTATTGGTTGATGCCTTGCATGCCATTGTGATGACTCATGTCCAAATGTGGTAAACACTGCACACTTACACAGTAATACATTAGCTATTACACAGCCAAAAAACTCAAATAAAACCATTCTAAAAGCCTGTATCACAATAATTTAAAAAACGCCTAGGGGTATTTGCCCACTGTACCTCCATACCAAATTTTAGGACCTTAGGCCCTAAAATGAAGAAGCTGAATCCATTTAAAGATATGGCAGGAGGAGGAGAAGGAGGAGGAGAAGGAGAAGAAACATCAGAAAAAGCAATATGGTTTCACCACACCACTTCGTGGTGTGGTGAACCCATAAATATATTTCCCAAAGACAGTCAAGAACCGAAAACAGACACAGATATCTTTGGTTCCAGGTGTGATGATGAGAGCAAGAATGATGCCACGCCCTCCCATGAAGTTCATCGCCGACCATCCCTTCATCTTTCTCATCAGAGACAACCGCTCCAACTCTGTCCTCTTCTTCGGCAAAATGCAGAAGCCACTTTGATTTGCAGCAAGAATCAAAAGATCCAATCCATTCAATCTTCATCAAATCAACACAGAGGTCACAGACTTAAATTTGCAGCAAGAATCAAGAGAAAAAAATGAGTAGTTGAGATTGTCAACTTTTTATAATAATGCCTGATTTCAATCGCAATATATTTTAATTTGCAACGAATCATCAGTTCATCTTTCATCTTTGGGATACTTTAGTTTGCAAATATATTTCCCAAAGACAGTCAAGAACCGAAAACAGACAAAGATACCTTTGGTTCCAGGTTTGGTGCTTATTGGGAGAGCAAGAATGCCACGCCCTCCCATGAAGTTCTTCGCCGACCATCCCTTCATCTTTCTCATCAGAGACAACCGCTCCAACTCTGTCCTCTTCTTCGGCAAAATGCAGAAGCCACTTTGATTCAACACTTTCGATTGATTTGCAACGAATCATCAGTTCATCTTTGGGATAATTTAGTTTGCAAATGTGTGCATCTTTCCTTAAGACAGTCAAGAACCGAAAACAGACACAGATACATTTGGTTCCAGGTGTGAGGATGAAGATGAGAATGATGCCACGCCCTCCAGTACCGTTCTTGGTCGACCATCCCTTCATGTTTCTGATCAGGGACAACCGTTCCAGCTCTGTACTCTTCCTCGGACGTATGTCCAAACCCACAGAGGGGTGATGTCACTTGGAATCTTCTCTCACCTGGTTTTTGGTTTCTTGATTTCTGTAATCTGTAATTCCGTGCCTTCAGGTTACTTCTAAGTGTGCTATAGGAAAAAGAGTCTGAGTGTGTTAAGTTTTTAACCCTCCTCATGCCACTTCTGTCAATCCTAACGAATGTAGAAGGGTGAAGAGCAGGGGGAAGGTTAATTGTGAAATGTGAAAAATTGTCAGTTGCTGAAATTTATAATACTTAAGAGGAAGTGACAGTTGCTTGGAATTGTACTCAAGGAGGGGATCAAGTCCATAAGAAATGCATGGAGTCACTGTAATAGTTACGTAATTTACGTACCATATTTCCCTAATTTGAATGAAGAACACTACTGGGTAGTAGTAATAATTCCAGACAAAAATTAGTTAAATCTCTGAAGCATGGATTTTTTGCCATAATTGTATACTTGATATTAAAGATTTTGAATGTTAAGCAGTGATTTCATTGAGGAATATTCTTAATAGTATTAAAATTGACGCTTAAAGATTAATCTGTTGCTGCAATGTCAAGAATGTCATTTCAAGTTTAGTATTGTAATTATGATGTCTATCAAAGTATGTTAACTTTACTACAATGTATATGATAATGACAACCAAATGCAGTCTTGCTGTTTTGCAATCATGGTGTATGCTTTATTCTATTTAGAGGTACATGTATGATCATGAGGTGTGGTACATGAGTCTTAGAATTCTGGAATAAATCTTTGATGACAATCTTTGATTGGTTTGAATTTTTATTCCAATTTTCACCACTTCTTGTAATACAAGTAATATTACATCATTGACATGGGAGATTCTGAAGTTGGAATGCTTCTAGCTTTTTTGACCATAAAACTCTGTCTGTTGAGGGCTCTTGAAATACACCATAAATACAGTTTTATGACATTAAATTTACGTTGTATGTTTGTTACGAGTTTGATCTAGAGTAACACTACATCATGTACATGTAGTTACATGACTGTACAACCTGAGTTGGTAACCCTTTTCCTATAGTCCAGGATCTTTAACCTCCCCCTGCTAAGGGGGTACCCATAAGGAAGTAGTTTTTTTTTTGAAGTGCTCAAGAAGATTTAATGTAAACCTCCTAGGTTTGCTCAGTTTGAACCTTAGCTATAAATAGCTTTGTTTACGTGCTGCATTTCTAAGACAAGGACACACTTAACCTTTCCCCTGCCAAGGGTGTACCATGGGGACAAGCAAAGCTGGCACGTCAGCAGAATGTACTGCGCTTGTGCAAAACCCCCATTTTTCACGGTTTCCGTTGGATGTTTGGTCAACGTTGCCTCAGAATTTTGCCCGTTGCAGACAAAATTTTTTCTTACATAACATTTGGAAACTACAGTCGGGATGTTGACCTTATATGTGCAAGTATGACCTTAAATGAGGTGTTCTGCCAAAGTGCTATGTACAAAACATTACGGTTTTGCGCAGGTGCAGTACATTCTGCCGACGTGCTCAGCAGGGACATGTTTACTCGGCTGCACCGTACACAGAGTACCCCCCGTCGAAGCTGTGTTTCTCGTTGCCGACCAGAGCTGGGTAGAACACGCACAGTTTCAGGGACTCCTCCTTGGGCAGGGCGCGGTGCGGGTCGTTCTTGTTCATCATGAACGCCGTCCCGCCGGGCCGGAACGACGCCTCCTGCTTACCCTCCTCCCATTGGTACGTCATGTTGCCTTTGGGAAGTACAGTTAACAAAAGGTAAGGATCAAGTTGTAACTTATACATTATCTATGGCATGTTTCAGGGCTCCAAATCCTGCATATGACGGTTAGAGCAGGTAAAATTGGAACTGTACAGGTACAAAATGTATTTTTGATATTCACTGCATTGCTCCATTAACTCAGGGTTCATACATACATGTACCTGTAGGTATAGGCAGATTTTGATATTCAGCTGCATTGACAGTTATCACCTATTAACTGTTATATAAAAGAAATAATGGCAATGGTTTCTTTACAATTCTAAGCATGATCCACACTTCCTAAATTCTGACTGGTGCAGGTAAAATTTGGTGAAGACAATCTTTAATGTTACCTCCACCAGTGCCAAGTATTAAGTGTCTATCAAGTAAGTTCCTTACACAATATACTGTACATTTATACACTATACATTTATCCTGGTTCACCTTAAACAATTGATTTAATTGACCACAAAGTAAATATATTGCAGTAAAATGTCCAAAGGAAAACCATGTCAATCATTATGAGCCCCTATAGTAGCCATTTGATTTCCATGTACGTACCGTTTATGTAGTAGGCAGTCTCCTTGTGGTTCTTGTACCACATAGGGACCCCGTTCACTGTCTCAGGGCGGGTGAAGACAGAGGTCAAGGTCACCGAGACTCCAAACTTGTCATCCCTCAGCAGGAACCTTCCAGGACAAAATAGAAAGAACTTCTAAATACAAAATGTACATTATGTATCTGCACTCTCATGCACAAGAGATAGAATTAGAAACCGACAAACTCAATCAAGAGGCACCCAACATGCCACGCTGCCATTAATATATATACTGACAGGAGCTACTTATGGGAGGGGGAAGGTCATGGGTCATAGCTTCTACCCAAATGCTCTTGGTTACCACATTAACCATCTTCCTGCTGCCTAACCCTGTAACCAAAAAATATTAGATTTGGTACCTTAGCGGGTTGAAGTTAAAGATGATTGACATAATATATTTATAATGACTGTAAAAGCAATTAGCTTCGGGCATGATTTTGCAAATAAAGTCTTTAATAATCAGACTTTTAACAACCTTCTGCTGAAGCCGCTGCCCCAGTCCACGTCCCGGTCAGTTCCGATCACCTCCGAGAGTGGTTTGACGACAACGCGGTCCTCAGAGGGGGAGTCATCTTCACTGAACACGCAGAAAAGCCGCATGGCTTCTGAAGCTGTAATCTGGAAAAAAAAGGGTTGTTACAGTTACTGTAGCAAATTAACAAATATTTCTTCTTATTTCTGTCTTCCATACTGATTTGGTGTCTGTAGTTTTGTTTTATGTATGTCGAAACAAGAAGTTTCGTATTTGTAAACAGATTAAGGGCTTTGACTTAAATCTGAATCCTCTTTTACCATAATTCGAGCAGACCACGCTTATAAATTCAATCTTTAAATCCAAGCATAGTATCTTTGACTGCAACGTGTAAAATCATGTCACCATATACGATACGGTATCTTTGCTAGCACAAGTAGTTACTAATAGATGTGCAAACTTGTAAGGTTAGGTGTGACAGGTCATTCAATGTATACAGCCTGCTACCAACCTGGTGTGTTATTTGCTATATATATACTGTACAGATACAGATGTGTAGAGAAGAAAAAAAAACATGTCACCGTCACAACTACCTACCTTGCACTTGACAGCAGAAGAAAACCCCATGAAGAAATCTGAGGGGACGGAGATTTCCTTCCCGTTGGCGAGGACACACTTCCCGCTGCCCGCCATGCAGTAGTACATGTGGTTACTGGTGCATCCTGGTCCTCCGCACTCCAGCACGTCGTTACCATCGCTGCCCAGCACGACCTCGTACGCGGAGTAGCCCATACCGTCTCCGGGGGCGACGATCTCCTTCCCCTTCACGGTGGGGATCTGCGGGACGGGGTTCAGGGGTTCTTCTGCGGTGTGGCGGACAATCATGGCGATGGTTTGCTGGGCTGTACTCACAGGAACTGATGAACGATAGCACAAAGCTGGCTTTAATTGTTCAACTATTTCCAATGGGTCTAAAAATTCATAAAATAGTGTTGGCACTTGTGTCTTAATGATTTTGTAACTATTTTTACAAATCCTTTTCACCTCAAAGGCTTGAAATATTCTTTTGGGCTTGTCTGTCTGTCTGTATGTGTTGTGTTTCTGACTGCATAAGAGCTAAAAAACTGGAGATGTACACCAAAAGGTGCCATGGCCAGGAGGTTGTGGGTACTAGTTGGGTTTATAATAGAAGTCATATGATTCTCATATGGCTAGAATCATATGGCTGATTTAATATGAATATGGGACTAAGCGTGGGAAGGACCTAGAAATGGAGAAACAATGCCAGGCAAAGTCGAACATTACACCCCCCCCCCAAAAAAAAACACACTTGACAGACAGAACATGCAGGCGTACACTGTGTTATACAAACATGCCGGCGCCAAACATCTGCTTGGAGATTACCCAAATAAGGTGAAGTCAGCACCGCCCTCAAAAAAGGGTGCTTTTAGCAATAAGACAAGATAAAGGGGAAACTCCTTCTACTTTCACAGCTTCGAATGTGATCTATGCATTTCATATGCGTCTCATATGAATGAATATGTGATGCAACGTGAACCCAATGACATGATTGAACCGGCTCTTTCGTCTTTGTCAAAAAATTTCACGCGATCACGCCGCCCCACGGCCTCAAGTATTACTTTGCGAGGAAGAACTAGATTGGGCCAGTTGGGGCCGGGTGCAAATCTTACCTATGCCACCGAAGTTGTTGACCACGGGCTGTAAACCTGAGGAATTGTGAGGAATGACAAGAATTAAGGGCACAGCCACGTGTTAGAGCGGTCTCCAGGTCTGCTGTCACTCACTATGGTCACGTCTGCATGGGGCTGACCTTTAGCCTAGTTAAAGTAGTTTGGTCCTTAAGAGATAAAACGGCTCTATAATCAGGCTGAGGAGCGAGAAAAACATACCTGATGATAGTCGTTTTGGGAAATACTGTGATCATTTATGTCTATTGATCAAAACAGTTCCAAACAGGGCATTGAAATAAAGTTAAGAACCCCCTACCTTCCCAATGGGCCGGTCCATATTAAGGTTGGACCGCCCCACTCTCATGGGGTCTCTCATGAATCTCTGGTGTAACGTTATACTGACAGTATATGCTCGTGGACTCTATCATCATGATCATTGCAAACATGAAACAAGAGTTCCGCGATCTCATACCTTCGCCAAGTGATGTTAACCCTTGCGGTTGACGAATTATACAATTTAATCATCGATTTTGTAAATAAGAGCCTCATTTGCGTGGATTATATCAGTTGATCATATTCGATCTCCACCCAATGACAGCCTTATTTTAACAAAAAGGCTATTATATCACTTCCTCATCAATTATGCAAATGAGGTCATGATTGTAATAAATTATGTTTATTGATGTTCAGCTTCACTTAACTTCCAAATGTGGCAGGTATGAAATTCTCAACAGTTATAACCATGAAATTATAAAAATTTGCCATTAATTATGCGAATTAGGTCCTCATTTACATAATCTATATCCTCAGATGTTTTATCTTGTTCTCAAGTACTAGTAACTAGATGTCACAAGTGTTTCATAGTTCTATTATCGAACAAAGCAGATTTATAGAATTTCCTCATTAATTATGCAAATTAGCCCCTGATTTGCATAATTGTAATCTGATTATGTCAAGCATCACTTCAACTACCTACATACTAAAGATCATGACAATCCGTCAACCGGTTCTTGAGTTATCATCCTTCAAAATTTTTTCAACAAATGCTCCTGCAGTTCCAGGACAAGCCGCTAGGGGACCCAAACTCATGTCACTTCTTCCCTACTCCAAGAACTATCTACCAACCAAAATTCGTGACCCTAGCATGTCCAAATCACGAGATATCAAAACCGGAAGTTCTGCTGCAGTACCTAGGAAAGCCGCCAGGGGGCCCAAAATCTAATCATTTCTAGGTCTCATGAAGACCTACATACCTACCAAGTTTCATTTCAATCCATTCACTGCTTCTTGAGTTATCTTGCTAAACCACAAACACACACACAAACACACACACAGACAAACGCTACTGAAAACATAACCTTCTTGGCGAAGGTAATAATGGCCAGATTTGCAAATTTACATCTAACGTGCTCTTTACCTCAGAAAACTCACTCTAGATTTTGAGGATTTTTTTTGTCCAAATAGGGGCAAAGAAAAATCCCTGGGACTAATAGACCCAAGATTTTAAAGATTTCTTTGATTCTTTCAAGGGCCCTGATGTCCCTGTTCCCATAAGGATAATAATGTCCGGAACGAAGCGAATGAATTGGCGACCGGCTTGACAATCGGCTTTGATAGGGTGATTGCAACTTTACCCCAGTGGGAACGCCCCCTATCGACTTGAGAGATCTTGAGATGATGCCGGTCAGCAACGCCAACGATCTAGTCTCCCACCAGACTCCTTTGCAGGCTGAATAAATAGTAGAAATCGGCTGAGGGGGACATCATTTACCAGAGGAATTGTCCGGCCATAGAGGGTCCAGCTTGCCTCTGGTAAATGATGTCCCTCTCAGCCGATTTCTACTATTTATATTCAGCCTGCAAAGGAGTCTGGTGGAGACTACCAACGACCTGCCTCGCTAGGTAGATCGTAGCCAATGGTAGCTGAGCTGGATCGAGCCGGTCCGAGCCGGATGTAATTCATCTTCTACTTTATACATTGTTAATTTTAGCAGACTAGTAAAATGAGATGATCCATTCAAATAATTGATGTGATTATTTGCAGTTTAATACCTAGATTGTGTGATAGCAGTTACATCGGACAACCTAAAGCAAAATGCAATTCGTCTATACGAAATGGGATAGGAGAATTAAGGTTAAAGCTTATAAAAGTTTCTTTGAGGCTTCTTTGAAACATTTATTCATCATGTACCAATTCTATTACTATTAAATCGTGGCGTCTCCGCAAACTCATTATTTCACGGAGGGTTGAGATTGAAAAATCTTGGCATATCTGCTTGAACTTAAAGTGCATGGACATGGTCGAATCGTGGAGGTAGAAAAACTTTTAACTCCATCCATGGTTAAATCATGGAGGTAGAAAACCCCCTCCATGGTTAAATCTAAACCAAACCAGTTTAGGGCAGTTTCGTCCAGCAGGATTTCCAAGGTTGTATTCATTTCTTCAACGTCAATTGATTCCACAGATCACCAGAGCTTTTAGGATGAGATTTCAATTTTTTATCCGCTTGAACTTGAACCGTGAACAGTGTAACGTTAGACTCTAATATAGTTGAAACTATCAATCCAGTTTAGGGCTGTTTCATTCAGACTGGATTTTAGATAGGTTACCATATATTAGGTCAATTCATTCTACGTACTATACCAGTGCTTTTATTATGTTACCTTTGTATTCTTCAAATTTTGATATTTGTCGCGGTATTTTACATCGAATCTTGTGATTTTATATGTTTATTTTAGACATTTTTAGCTATGTCCCCTACTTTCCTACATGGTCCGTCCCTACCAGCCCGCTCTGTCCACTTCCCGGTTCAATGACCTCTACGGGTGACGTAACGCCAATATTGACCAATAGCAAGCCGAGTTGGCTCATTTGCATACCATCCAGAACGAACCGGGTGGGGGCAGAATTTCCCCGACTGAATCAGTCGCCATGTTGGTCCCATAAAGTCACATATATTTGTGCAACTTTTTAATTTTCCCGATTTTCGGGGCATCGTAGGCAATACATGTAGGCAAGGCTTCGCGTTCAATGCGGAGTCTACTACATGAGCCACTATTAGGACTCTCCTTTTTGGAGAATGAAGGGAGTTTGGTGGATTTTCGAGGGTAAGTTTGCTCCCCTATTTCCTCTTAGTGTGTCTGTCCTCTTTTTAGATCCTTGTTGTTTGTTGACATCTTCACTTCTGCTTTCTTTAATGGGGGTTCACCAGGGTTTTTCGTACGTCTTGTTTGCGGAGGAACTTCTTATCATGTAGTGTGATGTTAGCTTTCGGATTTTTTGTGTGTTTTCTTTGACAACAACGTAGACTTTGGCGTTTGCGTTTTAGTTACTTTCCTTATGTTTGCGTTCAGGTCTTGGCATATCCAAAAAAATTGCCCTCGAAACGTCACTTTGTTGTAATGACTCTGACATAGATCTTGTTTACCAACATTGATGAATCAGAAGACAATACTAAAAGGAATCAAAAAGAATGCCAGACAACGAGGAAGCACCGTAGATAGCATGATTTATATGGAAGTGTCATTGGGGGTAACTATGACGTCACTGGCACCAAATATAATAAACTGGACAAAAAATATGGTAGAAAATGATTTCCAGTTTCTGTAACACATATGATAAAAGTCGCCAACAAAAGAATACAATAGTTATTTGCTAAGATATCACGGGGGTGTGATAGCTTGGTACTGTATTAATATTCTTTTAAAGCCCATATCAAAACCTTGATCAATATTGTTTGAAGCATTTGAATATAAATTACAAATATATCCACATATGCAACACATTGCTCTGTATGTATGTATGCAAATGACTGCTGAAATAATTGATTTAATTATTTGCAGTTATCTGGCTGGATTATGTGATAGCAGTTGATAATGTAATTTGTTGCATACAGTAAACCTGCTTCAGTTAAACTATTTGATGTTACACTACATCTAAGCCAAGTTTTTTGTTTACAGACTGAATTGCATTGCAACAGTGTTGTGAGTCCTAAAGAAAAAAAAAGTAAAAAAAAAAAGAACGAACATGCCGATCCAAGCGCCGCAGTGGACAGACTTCCTGTCCTGTCCGATCTGCTACAACGAGTTTAACGAGAACCAGCGCAAGCCCATCAGCCTCGGCTGCGGCCACACCGTGTGCCAGACATGTCTGGGACAGTTCCACAGTAAGCAGTGTCCCTTCGACCAGACCGCGATCACCGTAGATACGGACGTCCTGCCCGTCAACTACGCCATCCTGCAGCTGGTCAACGGTGACGTGCAGAAGTCGGAGAACGGCGGTTTGGAAGGAGTCAGCGAGTTTACGGAGTACTACCAGGATGCCATGGAGTGTATAGAGGAGCTGGCCTTGTACCTGAAGCCATTCAGTGGCGGTATGGAACAGCATTTCATAAACTTTTGCAACTTGTTAAATATAGCTATGGCCATATTGGTGGGTTAAGCAGATCCAAAATGGCAGCTGGTCAGAATGCTACACAATGAATTTAGGAAAAAGATCATTATGATAGCATAGTTCAAACATCTACATTGTAAGTTGCATGATTTATATTTCCAGCAGCATTCTGTATGTACAATCATGAAGCATTATTATTTGCATAGTAACTGGTCAGTGTTCGAAATACCCGTCTGCAGTCTGCAATTTGCAGATAGATTTTCAAGATTGCAGAAGAAAAAATCTTACAATCTGCAATTTTGCAGAAGGAAAAAATAGGCTCTGGATTCAATAGTTTTCAATTAGCAAAGCAGTGGCGCTGTGAATAGATCGAAAACCTGCGCCGCACGAACCTGCCGGCCCGTAGACTTGTCCTTTATGCTTTCTAGATGACTATCGGTACCAAAATACGGGAAAATATTGTTGCAAAATGAGAGAGACGGAGACTAAGGTAAACTTCTTTTATTTGAAGGCTGGATTTTCATTTTCCTGGCAGGCTTCTTTGTATGTAGTGATCATCAGTTAGTCAGTAACAACAAATATGGATTTTTGTTCCGGTCAAAAAAACCGGTTCACCGACGTTTCGGTTTTTTTTGGACCGGACCGATACAATTTTACTGTCTGAACATATTTAAAAGAGTGATATTTTGAAGAATTTCAGTAATGCTACAGATTTACAAAGCTATACCGTTATATATATATGATGTAAAAATAGGCATTATTGGTTTCAGAAGGTTGTAATATGGGGGCTTGTGTATTTGCAGAAAGTATTTCCAAATTGCAGGACGAAATTTTGACTCTTCTGCAATATTGCAGAGCACTGAAAAAAAGTATTTCGACCACTGCTGGTACTGTAGCTGTGGTGTTGCATTACATTATGTAGCAATTGCAGGACAGAGTTGGAGGGGCTGGTCACCAATTATGTGAATATGTTTGGGTAAGAATAACCAGAGCAGTAGTTTATGTTTCTTAGGTTATACCTGTGAAAATAAACATTATACAGTTGCTTTGCAGAAGTTATCTTATTACTTTGTCATGTCTTCATTAAATATGGAAATCATTCCTTAAACTAAACTTTTCTGGATATTTTTCAGGAGGAGCAGGCAACAACAGCCCCCTGAGCCGCCCCATGCAGCGTAAGCTGGTCACGCTGGTGAACTGTCAGCTGGTGGAGGACGAGGGCCGCGCCCGTGCGATGAGAGCGGCGCGATCTCTGGGGGAGCGGACGGTGACGGAGCTGATTCTGCAGCACCAGAACCCGCAGCAGCTGTCTCAGAACCTGTGGGCGGCCGTCAGGGCCAGGGGCTGCCAGTTCCTCGGGCCAGGTATGTGTCTTTCTTGTTAACTTACTTCCTCTTTCAAGTCTTTGGGAGACACAAGGCCGTGACTTCTGGACCCATCCTGCGTCATTGTCTGAGCGGGTTGCCATGGACACCAGTTCAAACAAAGCTGTTAAAATAAACACTGTTCTCTTCCACATGGTTTCAGGTCTTCCTCTTCTTCTTTTCCCATGATCTGGTGACTTCATGTATTTTTAGACAGCCATGATTTAGTCCTTGTCCAAGATATTGCAACCATCTGCTGGTAAAAGTGGTGTTAAAGTTGAAGCGGTCCTCTAGTTCCACATCCAGTTTTGTATGTGTCTACTCCATGGTGAAAATTTTATTACTTCATTTCAGGAAATCATACATGTACATTAGGTATCATCTTGAATTGATTTCATTTCAAAAGATCAGATTGGTTGAATTCAGCTCATCTGTGATTATGTCTATTGCAGATTTTTTGGAGTCCTAGCCTTTCAAACTCTGTAAATCGCATAAATCTTGTAGAAGAACCCTCCAGCTTGTCCTGCCAGCTTGCTACATAATTTATTCCAACACAAATTATGATGACCAGCCTCGGGAGGTCTATCCTACCAAAAACAGTATGCATTGCTTTTGTGAAGGTGAACAAAATTACTAACTGCTGTGTCTCCCTTCTGTAGCCATGCAGGAAGAAACTCTGAAGCTGATCTTGCTGGCTCTGGAAGATGGCTCAGCCTTGTCCAGGAAGGTGCTGGTGATGTTTGTGGTGCAGAGACTGGAGAAACAGTTCTCCCAAGCCTCCAAGACGAGCATCGGCCACGTGGTCCAACTCCTGTACAGGGCCTCCTGCTTCAAAGTGTACAAGAGAGACGGAGACTCTTCACTCATGGAACTCAAGGAAGAGGTATTCAACTAAGACTTTTTACATCTTCTTCTGGTTTAGTATCATGGTTTGCATATTGCAGAATATGTAAATTATTTATCTACATCTAATACTAGCTCAGAAAAGGACAAGAACTAGTCATGCTCTACCATAGTTACCAATCAAGGATTGAGATGTTCTATCGTAGAATGGAACTTACTACCAGCAAATACAGAGATGGAATCATCACTAGATAGCTTTAAACAATGCATAAAAATTTAGGTGTAACAAATTGCAGGGGTCTCCCCAGGAATTTTTAGGGGAGTGGTGCTGGAAATTTTTTGGAGGGCACGTA